TTTTTTGGTATTTTCATGCAAATTCTTCTGCTAGTTGGGGTTTAGTCTACTTCTGTATCCTTCCCTTCAAGGCTCAGCGGTCCAAGATTATCTTCTGTGTCTGTGTCAATTGGTTTCCCTTTTCTTTGTTGAAGAGGGTCTGTGCAGTCCTTCTGCCTAGTCCGCCATCTTGCTGGAACTCTCCGGGAAAGTTAATTTTTTATTTTACCATCAAGAAATAATCAGTCTTAGTGTATATATTTTTTCTTTTAATTTTTGTTGTGATTTGGTTGAAAATTTACAGAGTAAATTCATTTTCCGTGTAGTTCATACACATTTTGTTTCATGACGTTAACTATAATTCCCAACAATGTAACAGCTCTCTTCCCACTTCCTGCCAATAGTTACCACTTCCCTTGTCCTTCTATCCTGTGCATTCCTGCCCCCCTCTCTGTGCAACTGCTACCCATCTATTCTCCCATAATTGATTGTTCTAAGCAGTGTATCTACCTAATATAAATATTCACCCTATATGCCTATCTGTTGTTTGGCTAAAAGTCACAGAAGTGAGTTCAGTTCCAGACCTGAAGGGTAACTAGGAGCCATAGTCTCAGGGGTCTCACTAGGCTCTATCAGACCAGTGAAACCAGTCTTTTTTTTTTTATATGATTTTGACTTTTTAGTATATATTTCTTATAAAATTGAAATCATTTTACACTGTATTGTAAGCTGTTTTTTGTCATTGTTTAACAGAATATGTATGATTTATTATTTTTAAATATTATATTGATTTGCAAGCAATCTCAGTCATCAGATCTAGTCACCTTTTCTTATATAATTACACTTTTGGTATTGAATTTTTTCCATTGTATTCCAATCTACTTTTGATGCATTGCTTCTAAGACATGCCCATTTATATTTTGGAATTGTATATTTCTTGGACCATTCTGGAAAATTTGAAAAAGCAGCTGAGCAGTTAATGGTGTTTAGTCCTGGACAAGGGGCTCTTACTTTACCTTGTATATGTGTCATTTTTGTGATTAAAGAGGAAAAAATATTTCCTTATGTTTTAATATATATTTCCTGCCTATTTTTTTAGCTGTAATTTCATTGAAAGTTTACAAAGCAAATTGGTTTTCCATTCAGCAATCCATCATACATGTTCTGTTTTGTGACATTCACTGCAGTCCTCACAGTGCAACAGCATTTTTCCCACATCCCCCCTCCCTGTGTTTCCTGTGTTTTTGGCAACTTAGAATAAGCCCTCTGCTATCATTGTCATCATGTGTTTAGTCTCATTGTAATACATAAATACGTTGAGTGTATCATCAGTATAATTGTCATAACTAAACACCTATTGTTTCACACAGGGTATTTATAAGTACAGGTAGTCCCTGGGTTATGAACATCTGACTTAGGTACAACCTGTAGTTACAGACCATAAAGCCTATTAGGTTAAAAATTCAAGGTACATACAGTAGTTCATGATAACAAATGGGCACTACTTTGCAACACACATCAAAACCTTATTGTTATGTTGAAGATGTTTTAATGTATCTGGAAGTGTTCCTGTAATTTTTTTTTATGCATAGAATTGTACACTGTATACTACGACAAAACATTTGGCTGACGTTAGATGTGAACCATTCCTAACTGTTCTGATAGACATACAAATTTGATTTAAAGACAGATTTAGGAACAGAGAACTCATATGTAATATGGGGACTACCTGTATAAATATTGGTATTTTCTGCCAGCATAGTCATTTTCAGATCAATATAGAATTGGAACTTAAAATGCTGCTTATTAAAAATTTTCTCTTGACTGAAATAACCAGGAAATGTTCTGATTTGTTTTTCAAGATTCTTTATATATAATACATTATTTTTAACCTAACAGAATTAAAACAAGCTTCAGAAAGTAAGCTTTTAGAAATACAGGCTGAAAAGAACAAACAGAAAGATGATTTGGATAGTATGGAAAATTCAGACAAGATAAAGGCCATACGACAAAATCTACAGGAGGAGATACAAATTGCTACAGTTATTCAACATGTGTTTCAGGTAACATTCAATTACAGAAATTGGGAAGGGAAGTAAAGAACTTTTTTGAGATGATCAATACTTATTATAGTGTTGATTTACTTTTAGCTGTGATTATTCTTATTCTTTGATCTTGATAAAATTATTGTGCTGAATATCGATCTGTTTATATATATCTAGAATTCATGTATATTAAATGTTTACGTCTTTGATCTTTCATTATGGTTAGATTTTTATAAACAGAATGATTGTAGCAGATCTGTGGAGGCAGTATGGCATAATGGTGGAGAGCTTGAGACTCTGAAGTTGTGTGTATTTGGGGAATGGAAGGAGATTCATCATGGTAGGAATCTAGAGTTAAGTTCCTGACTGATACTTACAAGTTGTTGACTTTGAGCAAAATTTTTATCTTTTTTAAGCATTAGTTTCTTAGTTAGATAGAGTGATTATGAGAATTTAAGAAGATAATCCATGTTAATCTGTTTAGCATAGTATCTGGTACAAGTAAATTCTCAATAAATGTTGGTAGTTACTATCATATCAGTTTTACAATTTTATGTATTTCTTTTATTATGGAGGTTTTTCATTACTTTTTGAGTTGTGAAAGATGACTCTGGAACTGTTGAGATGAAATACTTATATTGCCAGTTTTTAATTATGTAAGATATACAGTTAAACACTGCCTATTAAAATACTTATATTGCCAGTTTTCAATTATGTAAGATATACAGTTAAACACTGCCTATTAAAGCAAATGCTGACTTATATAATAGAAAGTTTGTGGTGCAGTGAATTACTTGGTATGGCTTTTCTAGCCACAGTCTTTGTAATCCCGCCAGATTACTGGGTAAACCAAACCAAACTCAATGCCATCGAGTCAAATCTGACTGATGGTAACCCCTCCTTGGTTTTCCAAGGTGATATCTCTACAGAGGTAGATTGCCCAGTCTTCCTTCCAAGGAGTGGCTGGTGGGTTTGAACCACCAGTCTTGTGGTTAGTAGTCAAATGCCTTAGGCATTATGCCACCAGAATTCCCAGATTACTGGGTAGGACCATGCAAATAAGGTGTGTAGAACTCAGATGTTGGGATTTGTTAGTTTTATCACTCTGCCAGGCTTAAAATGAGCCTTCCTAGAGGCAGAAGGGGGATCTCACTGCATCAAGAGAGAAAAGCTGGAGGTGAAGTGGAGCACGTCCTTGGACCCAAGATCCCTGCCCTGGACCTCCTTGGCAGAGAGAGGCACCCAGAAGAGAGAGAGAGAGAGAGAAAGAGAGAGAAACACCCCGCAGAGAGAGAAACGCCTGGCAGAGAGATGGTGGTGGTGGACCCAAGAGGCATGAGACAGAGCAGTGGGCTTACCTGGCCCACAGAGTGAGAAAGCTGAGTGCCCTTGGGCAAAAGCCTTGCTGGTAGAGTAGGGTACACATAGGTGTACCTATCAAAAACAAAAAAAGCACTGTCTCTATGGTGCAATCAGCTAGCACATTGTTAACCAAAAAGTTGGTGGTTCCAGCCTACTCAGGGACATGCAAGTACATTTAAGGAGCTCTGGTGAGGCAGTGCCTAAAGCATTTGACTACTAGCCAGAAAGTTGGTGGTTCAAACCCACCAGCTTCTCTGCAGAAGGAAAATGGGGCAATCTACTTCTGTAAAGATGTACCACCTCAGAAACCCAACAGAGGTCTCTATGAGTCAGAATTGACTCAATGGCAGTGAGTTTTGAGTGAGGTGTACCTATCGGCAGAGCTGAAAGAGCTTCGCAATACTTGCCGAGCAGGGCAGAAGCCAGGCTGAAATTTCAAGGGCCAGAGAGGTGTGCTTGAGGGCATAGCAGAGGGGAGACTGTCCTGATTGAAGAATTGTTTCCTGAGTGCATTCCTGAACCTGAATTGTATGTAGCCTGTTACTTCCATAATAAACCCCATAATCATGAGTCTTATCTGTGAGTTCTGTGTGGCCATTGCAACAAATGATCAAACCTAGCAGAGAGGTAGAGGTAGTAAATGCTGTGGGACAGGAGGTTGGTGTCAAAATTAGCAAAAAGATTAGAGAGTTGGCAGTATGTCTGGCCTCATAGGAGTAAGCCTTGGGCTGCTGATGGTGATTCTGTCTTCATCTTGTGAAGTCAGAGGTCAGAAGATGCCACCCCCTGGTCCTTTTAGTAAAGTTTTATATCTCACTCTAAGATATTCTTTTCTGGATCTTATCATTTTACTTTTCTTTGGTACATGTTCCTTCATGCTGCTTTGGGACTTATATTCTTCTGTACTTTTATTCATATTCTGTAAAAAAAAAAAAAAAAAACCTCACTGCCATCAAGTTGATTCCAACTCACAGCAACCACCACTGGGTATCCAAGACTGTAAATCTTTACGGAGGTAGATTGCCCCATCATTCCACAGAGTGGCTGGTGGATTTGAACTGCTGACCTTCTTGTTAGCAGCCAAATGCCTTAGATATCATGAACTAACTGCTTTGTTAAATAGAACTCAGATTTGGCCATCTTTAGGAACTCTTTGTTACTAAGATCAGTCCTTAGGAGTTCAGTCATATTCAAATTCTTAATTCCACCTGACTTTATAAATTTGAGTGGATTTAAATATACTAGCCCTTTCATTCACTTATAGATAAGAAGAGGCTTTATGTAAGCCAGATTTTAAAATTTTATGCATAACAACTTAATCCTTTTGTTTTAAAAGCATTTCAATTAGTAACTTGGTGTCATTGAGTCATAGTTTTTCAAATAATAATGACCGGAATTTTTATTAAATTTGCCCCTAATCATTCTTCCCTTGTCTACCACAAAAAATGTTCTTTACTTTTTAGCATTATGAGGATCTAGGAAATATTTAAATGTTTATAGTAATTTTCTAGGCTTCATCAGTTTCTATGGACAGTTTACTTGCTATTTGTAGTTTTATTCTAGTTAGAAGAATATATAGTTCCAAGTGTGTGGATCATAACAAGTTATAGATTATACAAGCTTTTAAGACCCCAAGCACTGTGTAAGGAACTAGAAGTTAGAACACTGTGAAGACTAAGAATTCCAGAACACTTAATTGTGCTCATGAGGAACCTGTACATAGACCAAGAGACTGTTGTTTGTAAAAAACAAGGGGATACTTTAAAATCAGAAGGATATGGGGTCAGGGTTGTATCCTTTCACCATACTTACTCAATCACTATGCTGAGCAAATAATCCTGAAAGCTGGACTATATGAAGAAAAATGTGGCATCAGGATTGGAGGAAGAGTCATTAACAACCTGTGATATGCAGATGACACAGCCTTGCTTGCTGAAAGTGAAGAAGACTTGCAGCATTTACTGATGAAAATCAAAGACTGCAGTCTTCAGTATGGATTACACCTCAATTTAAAGAAAACAAAAATCTTCACAGCTGGACCTATAAGCAATATCATGACTAATGGAGAAGATTGAAGTTGTCAGGGATTTCATTTTACTTGGATCCACGATCAACACCCATGAAAGCAGCAGTCAAGAAATCAGACATCATATTGTACCAGGCAAATCTGTTACAAAGATGTCTTTAAAGTGTTACGGAGCAAAGATGTTACTTTGAAGACTACAGTGTGCCAAACCCAAGCCGTGGTATTTTCAGTTGCCTCATATGTGTGTGAAAGTTGGATAATGAATAAGGAAGACCAAAGAAGACTTGGTGCCTTTGAATTGTATTGTTGGTGAGGAATGCTGAAAATACCATGGACAGCTAAAAGAACAAACAAATATGTTCGGGAAGAAGTGCTGCCAGAATACTCCTTAGAAGTGAGAAGGGCCAGACTTCTTCTCATCTACTTTGGTCATGTTGTCAAAAGAGACCAGTCCCTGGAGAAGGATATCATGCTTGGTAAAGTGGAGGGTCAGAGAAAAAGGGTGAGACCCTCAACAAGATGGATTGACACAGTGGCTGCAATGATGGGCTCAAGCATACCAGGGATTTTGAGGATGGCACAGGATCAGGCAGTGTTTTCGTTCTGTTTTACATAGAGTCACTGTGAGTCTGAGCCGACTCAATGTCATTTAACAAAATTAGGAGGATCAAGGCTGAAGCTTTACTGAAAGTGGAAACTAAGACACAAGAATTTATTACTGTTTCTCATGATCACAGAGACATATCTAATAAATGTTCAATTAATACCTGATGAGATCAATAAAAGAATGTTTTGTTAACATCTTGTTAAATTTTATTTTGTTGCTGAGAATATACACAGCAAAACATGCAGGTACATTTCCATGACATTGATTACATTCTTCTAGTCCTGCAGTGATTCTCACTCTCCTTGTCCAAGGTTGTTCCTCTTCTATTAACTTAAACTCACTGGCCCCTAAGTTTCCTATCTAATCTTTTGAGTGGCTCTTGTCACTTTTATCCCATATAGATAGATCTTAAGAGAGCTCATTGCTCAAGGCAGGCATTTGTTGTTAGTCATGCTAAACTATTGTTTAGTTTTAACATGACTTTAGAAGATATTTTTGGTTTAAGATTTAAAGATTATCTCAGGACAGTATTTTCACCAGTTCATCTAGCTTCCATGGCTCCAAAAAATCTGGAGTACATGAGAATTTGTAATTCTGTTCTGCATGTTTCCCCCTTTTGATCAGGATTCCTCTATAGTATCCTTTATCAAAACATCACTAATAGTAGCCAGACACCATCCTTTTCTTCTGGTCTGATGGCAAAGGGGGCTAATTGTTCATGGAGGCAGTTGGCCACACATTTCCATGTCTTCCTATTCCTGACTCTCCTTCCTCTGTTGCTCCAGGCAACTAGAAACTAATTGTTGGTGTTGAATGGCTGCTTACAAGCTTTTAAGACCCCAAGCACTGTGTAAGGAACTAGAAGTTAAAACAGAAGCACTAAGTAAGTTATTAGGCCAATTAACTGGCCTGGCCCATGAAACCATGACTCTGAACCTCCAAACCAAGAAACCAAATCTCATGAAGGGTTTGGTTAAACATAAGCAGCCTCACCAGCTACTCCTTTCTCTTTTTTGTCATTGTTGTAAATAGATCTAACATACAACTTTTACAAATTCAGCTTTTTATAGGTGTCCAGCTTATTGACAGCACCCTGCCCTTAATCAACACAATGTTTTCATCACCATAAATCGAAACTCAGTAAAAATGGTTTTTTAAATCTTGTTAGTTCTTTTAAAGTACTTACAGGGTTGTTGTTGTTTTTTTTTTTTCCATTACAGAACATCATTTTGGGGAGTAAAGCCAATTGGGCAGAGGATCCTGCCTTAAAGGAAACTGTGCTACAGCTTGAGAAGAATCTCAACATGATCTAATAAGACTTCCCTTTTACCTTTTTTAGAAAATCTCTTATATGTATTTAAATAGCAGATTTCAAGTGAAATGCATTTTCAGTTTTTGGAATTGTGTTTGGAATTGTTCTAATACTGCATTTTTTTTTTAAAGTCAAATTATCACTATCACATAGAATTGTTTTAAAGATAATTAAAATGATTTGACTTCATCTAAAAAGAATCTGAAACTCTTTGCCTTGGAAGAGTCTAGAAAGACATCTGGTCCAGTTTTCCACTGAATGTGGAATTTTTTTCTACATTTCTGGCAGTCTCGCCTCTTATTAGGAATATTTCTGTGCATTTGTTTGTCAAGCAAAAATATTAGGAAACATATCCAAAGTGTTAACAGTTGTGGTTATTTGTGGTGGTATTATGAGTGACTTTTAAAAGTTTTTGTATTTAGCATGATTACCTTTGATATTAATTTCTCTGATGAGTAATGATGTTGAGTATCTTTTCATGTGCTTATTGACCATTTGTGTATCTTCCTTGGAGAAATGTCTATTTAGATCCTGTGCCTGTTTTTACCAGGTTATTGTCCTTTTTTAACTGAGTTGTAAGAATTCTTTATATATTCTAGGTATCAGATATATGATTTGTGAATATTTTTGCCCATCATTTGAGTTGTCTTTTCATTTTCTTGATGATGTCCCTTGAAGTAGAAAAGTTTTCAGTTTTGATAAACCAACTGATTTTTGACAAAGGTACAACAGCAATTCAATGTAGTAAACCTAACCTTTTCAACAAATGGTGGTGGAGCAAGTAGGAGTCCTTAGGCAAAAAAAAAAAAAAAAAAAAGAACTTCCAGCTAAATTTCATGCCTTATAGAAAAATTAACTTCAAATGGATCACAGACGTAAACGTAAAACCTCAAACTATAAGACTTTTAGGGAAAAAATAAGAGAAAATCTTCAGGAAAATTTTTGGCTGGGCAAAGAATTCTTTGATTTGACATCTTTCTGCCCATTGATTCACCAACAAGCAATGCCCTATATTCTAGGTTTTTGTTACGGCAGTTACCCTCGTGCAATATTAATTTCTGTATTAGTATAATTAACTCTAGCTGCTAAAACACAACCCCAGAAACCTCAGTTTAGCAGAATACGTGTTTATTTTTCATTTATGCAAAATCCTGTACAGACTAGGCAACTCCATTCCATCTTGAAGCTAAGAGAGAGAGGGAGATAGAGACAGATGGTCATGGCTCTTAACTACCGCAGCCTGAAAGTATCCCTTTTTTCAAGACCCATTGGCCAGAACTAGTCACATGTTCTTACATCCTAACTTTAGTTGAGGCTGGGAATATTGGGTGAGCAAGCACTAACAGATGTCACTTTGAAGACTAAGGTGCACCTGACCCAAGCCATTGTCTTTTCAGTAGCCTTATATGCATATGAAAGCTGAACAATGAATAAGGAATACTGCAGGTGAATTGCTACATTTGAGTTATAGTATTGGCAAAGAATACTGATTATACCATGGATTGCCAGAAGAATGAACAAATCTGTCTTGGAAGAAGTACAGATGAATGTTCCTTAGAAGAATGGCCAGACTTTGTTTCTCGTACTTTGGTCACGTTGTCAGAAGTGACCAGTTCCTAGAGAAGGATATTACGCTTGGTAAAGTAGAGGGCTAGTGAAAAAGGAAAAGATCTTCAGCAAGATGTACTGAGACAGTGGCTGCATCAGCGGGCTCAAGCATAGCAATGATTGTGAAGATGGTGTAAGAATAGGCAAAGTCAAAACTGACTCAGCAGCACCTAAAT